GTTAATTTCATTCAGATTTTAGGTCTATTAATTTTTACTGGGATGAAATAGCATGTAGGTTAAGTAATGTAGGCCTAATCTATGCCCAGCCATGATAATTGAATGACAACACTTTGCCTTTGGTTGACACACATGAACTGAGGATGTTTGAAAACATCCTTTACAAATTTTCTAAAAAAAATGCAACAATTCTCAAAGGAACAAATTTAAATTAACTTTAAAATTTTTTTTATTTGTAAGATCCTAAAATATTGGGGCTTTACCTGTTGCAAAGTGTTCACTACACAAGCGTGTATATTGTGACGATGTCCAGTTTTCCCTTCTTATGGTTGAAAGCTACTTCTGACACCATTCTTCCTCCACAGAAACCCAATAAAACGACACTCCTTCCTTTTGCCCTCTTCTGTTGGTACAACCAACCACACATGTCTCTGGCATCTTGCAAACTAATAAATCCACCAAAATATGCTGTCACCTCAGGCTATGACTGACATACTTTGACCATCAAAATGGCAGAGGTATACCCTGTGATGTCACATGCAAAACTTCTATAGGCTTAATTACAGGTAAAAATATCCTACTTACAAATTGCACCTGCAAAATGCAATAGGCTTAACTACATGCAAAGTTAAACAAAAAACTTAGCAATGTCTACCGATAAAAAGATCCCAGTTACACACTGCAAAATGCATTATAGCTGAATAAACAGATGACATCTATTAAAAGTGGAATTCAACATTCAGAGAACAACATCATCCAAATAAACCACTAATAACTAAATCATCCATTCTTAACATGCTACTCATCTCAGAAAAATCAATTAACTACACTTGGACACCCTCTAATATTTCTATACATCATTTCTTATCTTGGCTATATGATTTCTTTGTTTTTTTAAAAAAAGTCATGAGATTTATTTTCAATATACAGATAAAATTCCAGACGCACTATCTCGATGAACTTTTACAGGTATGTTCTCCAACACTTCATATTGAATTGGCCATGGCTCTCTCCAAACAGTTCTTCCTTGTCAAAATTTCGCAATACACGACTGTATAAATAGTTTTAAATACAATCTTGGACAGGCTTCTACACAAAGTAGTGATTACAATATGTTATAAGTATTAAGATACATCTGTAGAACAAAGGTTATGTCAACTGGGGAGGGATATTTTAAACGGTTGAAATTTTGATTAATTTCAAGTTCTGAGAGGGTGTGTGACCTAAACCTTATACAAATCACAGAGATAAAAACTGCAGAACAAAAAGGAAAAACCAAGCAGATTTTGGCGCTGTGATGAGAAAATGCTTCTTTTAAACATCTATATGTGAAATATAAGTTGAATACAAAGTTCTCTGAAGCTAGGAATCTCTTGGTATTCACATCCATGGAACAATACTTAATTCTCAAATTATAGCATTGAACAAGTATACATAACTTAAATTCTTTTTAGTCTGCTTAAAACTGCACATGAAAAGCTGCAAGAAGCAGAAATATCGCAGGACAAATCCTTGGAAAGTAATCTGGGAAAGAAGACTACTTTCCTATAACAAGAGAGGCTAAAGGATATATAATGGTTAGTAGTAAAATGATGAACAAAAATTTGGAAACCAGAATGGAATGGACCTTAAAGTATTGGGTGTCTTATATTTTCTAAAAATACTATTAGAAACTTTGTAGGAACAATTATGCTCAAAAACAAGAACTAATAAAGTTGCTCATAAAAATCTTGAAAATAAATCTTCACAAATAAAAAGGGATTGACCTCTTTTTGAAGAATTGTCAAGATTACTTTGTTGCAAGTGTTGACAGACTTATTATGAAACATAAAGTTCATTTTTTTAAATAGTTGATGTACATATATATCATTTATAAACATACTGGCTTGATGAAAACAAGTCTCATCTATCAACTCAAATCACAGTTGAAAAACTTGAGCATAAAACCTAAACTAAGGAAGACTAAGGTTAAAAATTCACCAAGGTAAAATTTAGTATTTTTTACAGAAACACCTACAAAAGGCACATCTCCTAACTTTCATTTATTAATATTTTGACACATTAAAGTTACTTTCAGGTAAACATGAATTGACAACTACTCAGTTATAATAACTTAAAATCGAGAAAAAATGGACAGCACACAACAGACGTTTGCTCTGTAAAACCTAAAACTCTGATGAAATAAGGCAATTATTAATAAACAAAGATACACTGCATAAATATATATCCTGCCATTAAAGAAACCAGTTAAATAAAAAAAGGTCTATTGTTAAATAAATTGTTGCCAAGAAAGTCTACTCTTTTCTCTATACAAATGTTTGGAAAAAAACAAAATGGTTTACTAAAGAAGAGGTATGTAAATATGTATCTATGTACTTGTATATAGTTACAGTTAGAAGAGTCCCTTCTGCAGTTTCACTGTCTATTTGCAACCTTTTAATAAGAAACTTGATTTTATATTCTTACTCTGTCAGTTTTTTTTTACAAGTGTTGAGCTGGGTTGTGATATAAACTTTACACAGTTTAAATTTATGGATTTAGTACAATTGCTCTGAATGAAAATATTCTGATGTATGAAATATCACTTGAAAAGGAGTATACAGAAAAATGCATAAGAAACTAGGTAAATGCCATCATGAAACTCACTTTTTTATAAATTGGTGGTAACTATGATGAAGGCAGATCTCTTTAAATCATATTTCTTAGAGCTTAGTGTTAAAAGCATCATATTCCAGAATTTCCAAAAAGTAGTATATACAGTAACAATGAAACATGATCCTCCAAATTTTACACTGAGGCCTTAAGGCAGTGTTACAAAACAAACATACATTTTTCTCAAAGCACAATTATTTTCAGATAATTGATGACATTAGTATTCCTTCAATCTTACAAGTCACCATTGTTTGTAATGAAACATTTTGGCAATTACAAGAATTTCTTGGCATGTGAATGAAACTACAATCCAATATTTGATAGGTTGTTTAGGCAGAGTATTCATAATGAATCTAAGTTTCAAATGGACAGCAACTG